AGCTGGGGTGCTGCCGGGTTGGTCCAGTAGCGCCCAGAGCGGCGCTACGGGACCAACCGGCAATACCCCAGCTGCTCTACCACAGGCGTCTGGAGAAAAGCCAGCAGACCAGGGAGACAGGGAGCAAAGCCGCGGAGCACACGTGCAGCGGGACAGCCGCGGCGCGTCTGGGCTGTTTTGCTGCCCGCGTGCTCCGCGGCTTTGCTCAGCGTCTCCCTAGTCTGCTGGGGGGGGCTCCTCCCCCAGCAAACCAGGGAGACGTGGAGCAGCTTTTCTCGCCCCGGAGGACGCGGGCGGCGGGACCGTGGCGCATCTGGGCATCCCACCACTCTCGTCCTCCGGGGTGAGAAAAACCCCGTTCGTAACTGCGGATCCAACATAAGTCGGATCCACGTAACTCGGGGACTGCCTGTACTATGGATTTATATAAAGGCAATAAGCTATTCTCTGTCTTATTCTCTATCCTTTTTTTAATGATTCCTAACATCCAGTTCGCTTTTTTGACTGCTGCTGCACACTGCGTGGATGTCTTCAGAGAACTATCCACGATGACTCAAAGATCTCTTTCCTGATTAGTTGTAGCTAAGTTAGCCCCCATCATATTGTATGTGTATGTATAGTTGGGGTTATTTTTTCCAATGTGCATTACTTTAAATTTATCCACATTAAATTTCATTTGCCATTTTGTTGCCAAATCATTTAGTTTCATGACATCTTTTAGAAGTTATTCACAGTCTGCTTTGGTCTTAACTATTTTGAACAGTTTAGTATCATCTGCAAACTTTGCGATCTCACTGTTTACCTCTTTCTCCAGATCATTTATGAATAAATTGAATAGGATTGGTCCTAGGACTGACCCTTGGGGAAACACTAGTAGTTATCTCTTTCCATTCTGTACCATTTTTTCCTACCCTTTGTTTTCTGTCTTTTAACCAGTTCTCAGTCCATGAAAGGATCTTCCCTCTTATCCCATGACAACTTAATTTACATACTATAATGGCAGCTGACTGATTTAGCTGGTGAAATATTTCCTTGAAACCAAAATAATCATTTATAAAAGCTTGCAACCTTTAAGAAACAGTCTCTAAAAAGTCTCAAAATAGAAACAATTTTTAAATAATTATTTTTCATTGTTTTGAATGTCCTACATCAGGCCTGAAATCCATTACAACTTATCCGTTGAAACAAGGAATCAATTTTTTTTCTCGTACTGTATTTTACATGAAGCAAAACAAAAAACAGGAACATTATAATATACTTTGAACTTACAATTTCAGTAAAAACCATCATAAAACAAAGATGAGGCAAAGAAGTAATTTTAACACAGTATTAATTAATTAAATTAGTGTAAAAGGAAACTTTCCAACTATCATGAAATCACTTTGCTCAATTCATTTGAAATTTCAAAACAAGTTCCTACTTTAAATAATTAAACTCAGCTTTTGATCTTTTAACTTTTATTTCCAGTATTTTTAAGCATGTGTGTTCTGGATTGTCAGTTTTTTTAAGACAAAAATTTTACTGGCTGCAGAAAGTGTTTTAATTTGCTTCTGTATGAGATGTTAAATAGAATCTCTAACTACTTGTGGTGAGAGGGTCAGTCAAATTTGGAAAACTGTGCCTATATAGATAAGATACAGTCATTTTACTTCTTATCTTTTATAGTTTGTTATACATACTGTTTGAAAATTTTCTTTGACCTCTACTTTTAGTTATTCCCACAGTGCCTTGTTTTTATTTAATAGATCTCCAACTTCGGAGAAAAATAATTAAAGACCTGAACTGATGTTAAATATATTTTTCTTTTTTTCCCCTCTTTTTAAGAAAGAATCAGTACAAAGCATAGTTAGTTGAGGGGAGGAGCAGAAAAGAAATATGGATTTTTCCTAGCATGCATTAGCAGAAAATGCATAACATGAAACAACCTTCATTACCAAAAGAACAAATATTTACCTTTGTTGCAAGTTGTGACACAGAAGATGTAACTTCATCATGAAGAAACTGGTCCTTATTCTTAAAAAAAAAAAAAAAAAAAAAAAAAAAAAAGTAAATACTTCAGTTAATTATAGTTGAACACTAAGTAATACTTATTTCACACTATTCATGATGCCTTTATTTTACTCAGCTCACCTCAATGATAAATTATGATATCCAAATAGAATGTTTATAAAAACTAAAAACCCAAAGAAAAATGAAAGATGTAAACAAAAACCTCATTTCAGATCAATGTCAAGTTTTGTATGAAAAGTTATAAATAGTCAAACCGCTGCAATTTATAAAAGTAAAGAAATAAAGTTCAACTAGGATTCTCTTTACTTTAATATTCTATCAATGTTGTTTTGATCTATAATTGACATTTCATTTCTAATGACACTGTTTTACATACTACCATAACTATAATCTCATGTATAGAGCTATTTTTCCCTTGGATGTAATCTTACTAGTTCTCACAAGTTAAGCAAGATACCAAGCCTGCTCAACAAGTCAAGCCTGCTCATTATGTGGACTGGAGACTTCCAAGGAGAAGCAAAGGACTGCAGTAAGTGGAAGCACTGATACAACAAGTAGTATATTTCTATCCAGCAAGGAGCTAAAATTATTATCCTACCAGGAAACACAGGGGCTCGTCAAAATGAGACAAAGATCCTAATCACCTGTGGTAATTAGACCTTATGCATGTTTTCCTTAATATCCTGCACAAATTATTTTCTGCTTACACAAATTCCCCACTATAAGCTACAATCTTCTACTTCAGTTCCTGTCCAAAATGGGGTGTAGTGTCTCTGGAACCATTACACTGGCTGACAAGTTTTGGAAGGGTAGCCATGTTAGTGTTTCAGTAAAAACAAGGCATCTTGTGACACTTAAAAGACTAAAAAATGTATTGCCCATGAAAACTTTTGCACAAATACATTTGCCACAGGACTCCTAATTGTTATTACATTGGCTTTATATCCCAGAAAAAGCTGTATTTTAGAGATAAGTATAGTGATCTCTGCATTAGCAAGCTGAGTTGTTAGAGTTCATATCCAAAGTCCCGAAAAAACTACCTGAGCAGTCCCGAACCAGGGAATTTGTTGGACCAGGGAAAGTCAATGCTTCCCTGCTGGCTTCCCCACTCCTGGTCTCCACGTATGGGGCTCCCACTTGCTGTCTCCATAGTTCCCTGGGTTTCCAGCCAGGTCTGCCTGACTGCTGCCAGCCCACTGCCACTGGGGGTTCCCCAGGTTCCCCTGCAAGGGCCAGCCAGCCGCTGCCAGCTCTGCTAGGACACCACCAGTCCCACTGCCACTGGGGATTCCCCAGAGCTCCCCAGCTAAGGCTCCCCTGTTGCCACCTGTCTCCACTGCTGCTGGGAGTTCTCTGGCTGGGATTGCCCAGCCCCCCTGCCACTGGGGAATCCCTGGGTTCCTTGGCTAGGGCTCCACTGGCGCCTGGCCCCATTGATGCTAGGGATTCCTTGGCCTCTTTTGTCCCCAATAATGCTGGAGAGCTAGGGTCACCCCATCATCTAGGGTCGCCCGGCCACCCAGCCTGCTGCCGCCAGGGGTTTCCCAGGGTTGCCCATCTGGGGCTACCTGACTGCTGCTTGGCCCCGCTGCTGCAGGGGGTTCTCCAGCCAGGACAGATACTCCCTGTTTGCCACCTGGCTGACACCAGGAATTCTTTGGTCAGGGTGCGGGCTCCCCATTCACCACCTGGTCCTACTGATGCCTGGGGTTCTCTATCCAGGGCAGGGCTCTTCACCCCCACCTGGCCCCGCTGATGCTGGGGGTTCCCCAGCAGCCACCTGGCCCAGCCACTGCTGGTCCAGCCAGATCTCCCTAGCCTTACATTCTTCTGACTGGCTCCCACTCTCTGCAGACAGGGCTCTATGGTCCAGCAACATCCATGACCCTGCAGGCTCATGGATGTTGCTGGACCAGACAGTTCCGGATTTTGGAGGTTCAGCCTGTAGAAAATTATTTCCTGTGGCTTTTGACAAATCAGTTAATCTCTGTATTTTGGTTAGCTATCTTTAAAATTCTGAGTATTATTAAATGGTTAATATTTTTTTAAATGCTGAGGTTTTAAAAAGAAAGTATATTAAAATAGAATCCTTCCATTTACACCTCACTCCTTTGTCAGCTCTAAAACAATTGGCCCAATTTAAAATAGGGATGTCAAAAAACAGTTAATTAGGTAACCATTAAAAATGCTGCAGACTCTACCATATAAAGCTTATACGCAGAGACTGCAGTGCAGCCGGCTGCCAGCACCATACTCAGGAAGCCGGCTTCACTCTGGGCTCTGCACTAGAAGTTTATACTGCAGAACCTTGCAGTGTGTGGCAGCAGTCATCTCCTCAGGACCTGGTGCATATCAGAACCAGGCTTTTAAGCGGGCTTTGGGCACACACCAGCTCCTGCCTGCCGCCCCGCTCTCAATGAGCCAGCTGCTGCTCTGTGCAGCAACTTCTGCTGGCTGCTTGTATTCACTGCCTCCTGCCTGCCACCCTGCTCCTGAAGAGCCAGCTAATACCCCATACTACTGCCTCTGATACAGAGGCAGCAGTGCACAGCAGCAGCCGGTGCCCGCCAGTCGCCCCGTGCTGCTGCACCCAATACAAAGGCAGCTGTGTGGGGCAGCAGCCGGCTCCTGGCCCTGCTCTCAGCCCCACTCCCATGGAACTGGCTGCTGCCATGCGGGCTCTGACATACAGCCGGCAGTGTGGGGTGGCAGCTGTCTTCCCATGACTGGACTGGGAACCAGCATGTAACCATTACGGTAATCTATAAGCATTTAAATGGTTACACTATTACTTCCCTAGTTTAGAAGGCCTTGTACTCTACTTGTTGGTACTTCTCTGCTCTGACATTTAGATGTAATTTGATCATTACTGAATGCTGCATCCAATCAATTCAAAGTTTCTGGAAATATTCTGTGTGTCAATGGAGAGAATCCTAGTGATTTTGGTGAAAAGTGGAAAAAATAAAAGAAGGAAATGGGAAATACACAGAGCATCTGGTTAGTAGAGCTACTGGTTTCAACCATCTCTTTCACTGTCTATAGATCAAAGAACCAGTAAACAGTCCCCCATAACAATATTCCTCATTTCAGCTCAGTCCATCTTACCACTACAATTTAAACAGAAAAAGATTAGGAAGAGGGGAAGGCAAGAATAAAGCAGCAAAGGAGATTGACACAGGAGAGTGGACGAATACAAGGAACCCTTGCTCTTTGCAATGAGTTTGCCTACAGAAGCAAAAGTGTGGCCCACTCGTATTTTAACTAGGGATTTAGCACACAATTAATACCAACATTAGTTTAAAACTCTATCATCTTTTCCAGTAATTTGATAAGTAGGATTTTTTATATGTATGCACACATACAAAGAGATATGAGAAAAAGCCAGTTAAATATCTCCTTCCACGCATACACCTTTATAAATATAAATTATGAACACAGTATTTCAAGGTAACAATTATTACTACTAATGAACTACATTCCCTATTGTTTTCTTTTAGCCCCACACATTACACTGAATGCTTCTGTGACTGATAAACAACACATTTATCCTATTATAATTAGAGGGAAGGGATTAGATGTTATTTTTTCTTTACCTACATATTTCTTGCTCAGTTTCCTTTATCATGCCAATTTCCCCTATATTATAATTTTTGATGTTCTGATTATTTCAGAATTATTCACTGTAATATTAGTTTGAATAATGTACAATATTTTATTTTTTTTCTTTTGGCTTCCTTCTTGTACTCTTAAAGCTGGAGTCTTATGCTGCAGAACAAGTAACTAAATGTTTGTTAAAATTTCATGCATTTGTGAAATACCAATCAACAACTTGCAAATGACTTTCCAGTTTTGGAAATAGTATGTTAGTACACACATTTTCCACAAGGAAATACAAGTATCCTTCTGTTGGACATACTGCAAACCATAAAGTACTCAAGGGATTAATTCAAGAAGCAAAAATCTTTTTGTACAAAAAGATTATACTGTTGATCTACTTTTCCTCAGTTTTTCTTGTGGTTGATAAATTAGTCTCTTTTGATCACTCACTTTAATAATACAGTCTAAGCAGAGAAACAAGGTTAAACACAAAATGTGTGTCAAAACTGGGTATACTGGACAAAAGCTGACCTACTGCATAAATGTCAAATTATTAATGATTTCCAATCAATACATCTGCCTCATACTAAATGCAGTTTGGATGTCAATCAAACAAACACATGCAAAAGTAAACAATTTATAGCAAAAATAAATCATCTGTAAGGCAGCTTTGGACAATGAACATTTTTACTGTAAATCTTTTAAATGTAAAAAGATTTACATTTCAGCTTACCTTTCTTATCTACCTCTCTCTCAATTGATCCAGGATTTAGGTACTGTAATTTTTAAATGTCTAGACAATGGTGATTACAAGTGCAGGCTAAGTTAAGAACTTGAGATATTTCGTTTCTCAAGGAAAATAGCAAAGGATATTCCCAGCCTCCCTCCATGCCTGAAAATATGCTTTTGCAAAAGGGATCTGAAAAATCACTTAGGAAACTACATGCCTGGAAATTAGCCTCCGCAGTTGGAAAGATTCCCGAGTCACAGATTACAGATCAAACAATAGAACTATAGAAGATGATCAGAGACAGTACAGATTTAGAAGAGGTGATTATGCCATTTGATTAACTTCAAGTAAGAGACAATGAGAGCTGACAGTTGCAAAGCAGTAAATCATGGGTTCCCAAACTGGGGCGTGTGAAGAAATTCCGGGAAGGGGGGGGTACAAGGTGACCCAGCCTGCCCCTCCATCCCCCCCTAAGTTTTGCTATTTTTGTTTTTCGGCCCCGGTCAGTTATTTTTTGGGGGCAGGGGTTTAACAAGTTTTGCTGTTAAAGTTTTGCTGTTATGGGGGGGGGGGGCATGAGGGTTTTTCAAAAATCAAAAAGGGGTTGTGATGCCGAAAATTTTGGGAACCACTGCAGTAGATAGTTTCCTGGAGTTCATGGCTGTGGTACGGTATC